TCAGCATGTCAATGACTTGAAGGAATCTGGTAGGAAAATGGGAGCGTATGTGCCCAGAGATAATGCCTGCAGCTATTAGAAACTTAGAAAGAAGAAAGTCGTTGTTCCAGCAGATGCGGGGTACCCAGTTTGAGGCAGGGGAGGAGGGAGAACTGCTTGTTTGCAGGGCCCTTGTGACTGTCCAACATCAGCATTCATTTCACAAGCACTCCCTGAGCACCTACTGTATACCAAGCTCCAAGGGCACAGGGAGGTAGCAGGAAGCATCATGGGACTCCTGAACTGAGTCCCCAAAGCACAGAGACCCAGGAGAGCTCACGCATGACTACATGTAGGCCAGGGCAAGGCAGAGTGGGGTGGGCGATGGGGCTGGAGAAAAAAGTCATTGTAGGAAATGGCAGGATCCCAGTATAGGATGATGACTGTAACAAAGCAATCTACCTGTATCACAAATGGCTCTGTGTGCTTGTGTTTGCAAACAGAATCTAGCACAGCTTTGGTTAAGTCTCATCTTATTCCAGGAGTCAGTCTAGGGAAAACAATTTTGTGACAAGCTCTCAGAACCCAGACTAGAGGGCCTGCCTGAAACGAGAGTTCTTCCAAGAGCCTACAGAGAACTTCCTAAGGCTGTATGGGAGTTGTTCAGGCCCGCAGCTGGAGTCTGGGGCTCTGCCAACAGACACTGGCTATGTGGCTGCCATTGTGCAAGTGCTGCTCAGTCTAGGCAAAAGGCCTCATCCTCTGCCCCGCAGAGGGAAGGGAAGCTGAGCGTGGCTATGGACAACATTGTTCTCCCAAAAGGTTCACCTACCCCACTGCCTTCTGTACCTTTCCAAGTATTATTTACTCTGCCTGGAATCTCCTTTCCTCTCTTCCAAGCCTGAAATCATATTTACCTTTTCAGATTCAGCTCAGGGGTTCCACATCCCGGAACCTTGTCATGCACAATACTACGTTTTTATTATTCATATCTGTGTGTTCCCAGTGCCTTCTGCGTGCCTGGCACAAAGCAGACACTCCAGAAGACATGTGATGGATGAGGGCAACTGAAGGAGTGATGGTTAAGGGCTGCTGCAGCTGAAAAGATGCACTAAGGGAAGGCAGGCAGAGGGAGGTCATCTGCTTAGCCAGGTCAGAGGACCCCAGAGAAATGTGCCACAAAGCCAATGTGGAAACACAAAGGAGGAGAGATAAGCAGTGGATGGAGACTGTTCTCAGGAATGAGAATAGGACAGGGACAAGGAGAAAAGACAACTGTGTGGACAGCTGGTTGGTGACCTCTGGCAAGCACAGTCCTTCCTGTCTGCCCCATGCACCTGACCACACACACTTGACTTAGGCTTTGCAGGCATAGCTCACTGGAGGAAGGGGCCCAGGAGCCTCTCTACCTGGGAAGCCTTTCTGGAACCCCGGGTGTCAGGAGAGGTTCAGAGGGGAAGCACAGGGATACCGTGGTGTCTGTGTAGGTCCAGGCACAGCCTCTTCATTCTGCCTTCCAACAGGAAATGGCCTCTGCTTCCTTTAGTGGGAAGCTTGCTCCATGAAGGATGATAACCCACCCCCTCCCAGGGCTACCTTGGGTGACAGGAGGACAACTGGGGCCTGGGGACTGTTCTCCCTCCCTCTTCACTCTCAGCAACTGCACTTTGCAAGTCCTGAGGGAAGCCACCCTGAGGAGGGGCCTCTGGAATAAGATTGGGGACGGTTGCAAATCCAAGCAGACCCACAGGTACTACCTCCGTGGTCACTTCTATTGCCCCCTGCCCCCCGCCCCCGCATCCCCAAGTCTCCAAATCCAGCTCTGCATTCTACCAACCCCCTATCCGGACTCTAGACCCAACCACCTCCCAGGGAGATCTCAGTACTAGAAAGTCCACATTTTTATCCAAGTTAAGCTAAAGTTGCCAGGAACTAAGGCCCTCTTGGGAAGGGGGAGATTGCATTTTGTATGTGGACTTATTCCCGGGGTCTTCAGCAATTCTCTAACTGGTGTCATTCAGGGTGTGGACTTCAGGGAACTTAGGGTAGGGAATTTCAGGCTGAGAGAGGATCAGCCTTGGGGGCTGGCGCCTCCCCATTTCCTGGTTAAAGAATTTGTCGATCTGACCCTCCAGGAGCTCTTTAGTAGGCCCAGGATTGGATCCCAGAGGCCCTCCCTCCACGGAACACTGGAGTTGAATGCAAATCTACTAATTTCACACTCTCTCCACTCTACTGCTACAGCCCAGGGGAGGAGCCCTGGCGGTATGGAGAGTTGAGCCACAGCCACTTCCTTTTTCTGTCCCAGGTCCGCCCATCAAAGTGTCTAAATGCACTGGGATTCTCTCCACCAGGACCCTGCTCTTCAGAAGTCTGCCCTCTGTGCCATTACATTGAAGCCAATGTGAATATTAAATTGAACAAGCCACCAACTTATCAGAAGGGTGGCACAAATCCAATGTAGTCTTTAAAACTATGGTCAGATATACGCTGATGCTTCTGTAACACTGGCACATGTGCCCACCCCAAAGCCACATAAATATGCTTTCTGGTTTATTTGGGAGTCATGCTTTTCAATCCAGAGCCATTTCTTGCCTTTGGGTGAAGAATGTTGGGAGTCTCTTTTCCACTCCAACTGCTTCATTTGACCAGCCAAAAAAAAAAAAAAAAAAAAAAAAGAAAGAAATAAAAAGGAAAAAAAAAAACAACTAAGAATGTTGGGAGTCTATAATAAGAAAGCCCTAAAATTTGGTGGCAAAGGAAAAATAAACAGAGTCAAAATCAAACTTTGCTAAAGGAGAGGGTGGGAGTGTGTTTCTGCATATGGCTCAGGATCTTTCCTCAATGTCAGGGTCAGTCATCTGTCTACACAGGTCAGTGAAGCTTTGGACCTCCATCCAGGGTGAGACACTGAGCAAGGGGTCCAAGGTGGTCAGTAGGGTCCTTTGTACTTGCTGGACAGAGGACCAGGTGGCTATCTGGAATTTCTGGCTTTTGATTCCATGAGAGCAGCAGTAAAGTACCAGACTGGGCCTCCAGTGTAGTTGAGATAGTCCAGGTAATCTACCTCTTGAAGACTGGGAATGTGAGGCCTTGGAGTAGTCCAATTCTTCCCATATGTCCTCACAGACAGGTTTATATGCTCCCCTTGCCAATTTGGCTTGCTAGAGCAAAATAATACATTGACAATTGGGGTGTTTATTAGTGTTCTGATACCTAGGCAAGGCTATTCCCCATAGCCTGGTCATCTCTGGGGGAACTTCTAAAACTGAACTTGGTTCAGCTCCTGGACTCCCTTGGACCTTATCAAAGTAGCATCTGCCCTCAAGACTCTGGACTCTAAGCAGCCTGTCTGGCCTCTGTCTATGAAGCTCTTGAAAGGGCAATGGTGCTTGTTATTCAAGTGTCTGAACTGATAAGCCATCTCCCTCTTGATGCCTATTCAGAGCAAGGCCACTTGCTGGCCAACCTGGCCACTGGCAAGTACCTCTTTCTAGCAGAGTATGGGCTGTGGGTTCAGCTAGACCCTGGGTTACATCTCTTCTCCTCCACCCTTACTAGATGGGTGGAGCCTGTTATACAAGCTTCTCTGTGCCTTAGTTCCTCTTCCATATTTGAATGTTCATTGGCAACCTCATCAGAGCTAGACATTGGATTTCACCAGGAGGATGGGCAGAAAAGCTGGATTGAAGTGTCTGGGACAGGGTCTAGTGCTTCATTAGATGAAAACGTGATTCGGGTTACTCATCCTTAAAACCAGGTCATATAATATCAGTTCCCCAGTGGGTGTTGGGAAGCCTAATTACCACTTGCAAAATGTTTTTAGGTTCTCAGAAGAAAGGTGATAAATCATGGCAAAGTATGACTATCACAATTGTGATCGTCTCAAGCTTCCCTTGGGGCTAACTAGTATAAAATTGCCATTTTTGAAACTCTACTATTGCAACAAAATACGACTATTATCCATAATACTAGACTAATGTTTAAGGCATTGATGTGCTCATGAAAAACTCTTAAATCGGTCAATGTGAAGACGGTAAACGAGGTCACTTGCCATGAGCTTGCCTTTTATTTGGATTCCAAAAGCAAATAGAATCCTTGAGGAGGTCAGCACCTGAAAGAGTACCAAATAGCAACAGCATTCTTTGAGCACCTAGCATGTTCCTGGCAGTATGTTACGCACACTTATCTTACTGAATCTTCCCAACACATTTGGAAAATAGGTTTTACCATCTCCATTTTGCAGAGGAGAAAAACTGAGGCTGAAAAATGTTGATTTGCCCAAGGAAGGTAAACCTGGCGCTTATAAATAGAATGGCCTGGAGTGGAGGAAGAGGCCAGGTGTGAGGTGACCACAAAGCCTAGGCAGGAGCCAAGGAGTCTCTGAAGAAGGTTAGAAAAGTGAGGATGACTTCCACATCTCCAGTTTGGACATCCCCTGTGAATAGTCCTGCTGCTAACAGAGAGGGGGAACCTAGGAGGCGAAGGAGTTGTGAGGGGAGACGACTTTGGTGCAGGATAACCTGTGTTTAGAACGGCCAGCATATCCAGAAGTGCTGGCCTGGGGCTTGGGAGGGATGTTGAGAAGCAAACTTTGGAGTCACTGACAAATCTGACAGGTGAATCTTTGGGTGAGATCGTCAAAATGCAATGTCTCACTCGTTGCCTCTTAGCTCCTCCTCCCCCCTCAGTCCTCATCGTCATGGGGGAAATCTCTACAAGGCAGAGCGTGCCAAGGTGACAGGTGTCTGCAAACGTCTCACTGCCGGACTCCTGGGCGGTGCATTCCCTCCCTGCAGGCCTTCATCCAGTCAGCTTCCCCACGCGGCTCTCCGCCCCCTTCTCCGGAGCCCCGGCTCTTCTAGCCTCAGCACCCCGGCCGTCTCCTCCGCCCGCTAAGTGGGGACCAAGGGCCGGGGGCCCTTCGGGCGCGGGGAGCTGGGGCGGGGCTCCGGACGCATGCGCGATCGCCGTACGGAAGCCCGGAAGGAGGGGCGGGGGGCGGTGGCTCAGGTTTCTCCGGGCGTCGGCGGTGGCGGCGGCGGGGACGCGGCTGGCTCTGGCGCCATGAACTTGCTGTAACACGCAGGCTGCGCGGCGCGGGGGGCGGGGGGAGGACGCAGCGGTGAAGTTCTCCGCCATGAACCTGAGGGGCCTCTTCCAGGACTTCAACCCGAGGTGAGGCGGCGGCGGCGGCGGCGCCCCCGGGAGTCCGCACCTCAGGCTCGAGCGCGGGCTGGTGCTGGGCTCCGGGGGCGCGGGGCGGGCGTGATGCTGCAGCCGGGGGAGCCGGGCGCCTGCCCGACCCTCCGTGAGGGTGTGAGCGGCTCTGCGGGAACACAGTCGGCCTCGGCGCTAGCTTGCTTCCTCCTCCCGAGCCCAGTGCCTTCAGCCCCCCGCCCCGCCGCGCCAACTGGAACCGCCGGGCCACGGCCTGAGGCGCCCGGCCACCAGCCCTGTCCTGCCCCAAGGGAACCCCATTCCTCTCTGCTTGCTTTCCCTCATTAGTATCCCAAGTGGCCCCTCTCGGTTCCATCTTCTCCCACCCCTCTGCCTGCCCTGCATCCTCCGCGCCAGGGCCATCTCACTTGACCCAACACCCCTACCCCCCATCCCAGCTGTTTCCTCCAGTTCCTCTCAGCCCTTGAGGTTTTCCTTGGACTTTTGCCTATCCCTCTCTTGTTAGCCTCTTTGTTGAACGGATATCTGAAACATTGTTGAATCCTTGGAGTCGGTGACAGGGTATGGCAGTACCTTATGTAATACCTTTGGAGGATAAACCTGATCATTTTCCATCCGCATTTTCTCATCAGTCTTCACTATAAGTTTATTTGCGGAAGTAAATATTGCTGTCCTTTTCCAGATGGGGAACACCCAGTGGACAGTGTGGAGAAAACAAAAACACTGGATAAGGAATCAGGCGTCTGTCCTCGTACTTGCCCAACTGTTCTCTAACTGTTTCCTCCCCCAATCTGTGAGCTCCCAGAAGCTGACACCATCTCCTGCTCATCTCACTGTCCCTAGCACCTCCCACCCACAGTGTCTGGCACACAGTAGGCACGTATAAAACGTGGAGCTAAACTGAGCGAAAAGACTTGGATTGGAGACCAGGCCATATGTAATAACTAACTGGGTGATTCTCTGCCCTTCTTTGGAACTTCTGTAAAATAAAGAGTTGACCTAACTGATCTCTTAAGTGCATTACTCTATGAAAGGAGTATCTACTTTCCTTATTTGCTAGTGAGAAGCTGAGCACTCAGTAAACCATTCGTATGCTAAATCCTGTGCTAGGAGCTTCAGATGCCTGGTGGTCTCAACTTGAGGGTGATGAAGGGCATGTAAATTTCAGATGACTTACATTACTGCCCAGTACTGTGGGAGCCCAGTGGAGACCACTATCTTGGCTGCTCGTTGGGGATGAAAGGAAGTCTTGGGTGAGTGTGTGTTGGTGGTGCAGTCTCCTTAGGGATGATGACATTTTAAGCTGTAAACTGCTGTGACTTCCTAGGTGCTCTTATTCCCCTTTGAGTTCATATTCTGGTCTGGAGTGCCAATGCCCCTGTCACAGTTCAGTCATCATTGTTGGCCTTGAAGGCATAGAGCTGATTTACAGTAGGTAACAGAACTAACTACAAGGCCTTCCTCTGCTGCTCCTAAGGGTTAGGATTGGTGTGCAGGGTTAGCAGAGTTGGTATTGGAGCTGGACATGCCTTGTGTGTCTTCATTGTTTGGAGAGGGTAATAAGAAAGATAAGTAAAAGCTGAATTGTTTTGTGCCTTTGAGCAACTCACTTATCTGTCTTTTTTATCTGTTGAATGAGTATAATCTCTCAGCTGGATAGGGAGGCTGAAATAACGATCGATTGCAAAGTGCTTTGCAAATAGAAAACTCTATGACTTGTTTGCAAGGTGACAGATAATTCAGAAGCCACAAGAAACTGCCTCAAGTGGTCCAACAGGCTAATAGCTGCCAAAGTTAAATAGTGCTGCACTGATAACACCCTTAACCATTTTTCCTTTAACATCTTTTTTCCTAAAATATTAGTATATGAAAATTACAATAAAATACTAGGTATCTAAACAGATTTATCATAACCATCAACATACTTATCAATGCCTTAATTTAGATTAAAATGCATCTCTACCTGAAAAGTTTAAAGGTTTTTATACCGTGCCATTTTTCTGATTTAGTGTTGTCAGTGGGGATGAGTGGTATTATATTACAGATATTTCAAAAAGACATTGGCCAGGTATTATTGGTGAATTTTTTTTTAGTAGGTGGTGTTTCATGTCTCCTGGGCACACCTAGTTTTTGACATGTGCTTTAGTCTTGTTGCATGCTGAGGAGAGCCTTTCAGATAGCTAGAGAGCAAACTGAAGGGTCTAGACAGGAAGATACCTCATGCTGGGGCCTCAAAACTTAGTGCTACTGCCTTACTATCTGCCTCTAATTCTGAGCCAATTCAACACCACACTGCTACCCCAGGACCTTGGCACACACTGTTATCTTTGCCAAGAGTATTTCCCTCTCCTCTTCTCGCCTCCTGTCCTAGTTAACTCTTGCTTATCCCTGAGCTCTCAGCTCACTTGGTACTTGCTGAGGGAAGCTTTCCTGACTTCCCCAGCCAGATCTGCTGCTCCTTGTTTGTACAATCTCTGTAGCCCACTGCACTCCTTCATCATAGCACTTATTTTTACCCTTCTATTTGTCTGTGTGCCTGTTTGATTAATACCTGTCTCCTCTATTAAACTTTTAGCTCCATGGAGTCAAGGCCATGACCCTGTCATTGTAGCCTACATCCCTGAAATAGTATCTGGTTCAATAAATATTTGTAGAATGAATGAGTAAATAACTCTCCAGAACCAAAAGGGAAATCTAGAGCTGCTGTTTTCAATCACTGCCTCCATGATAGTCTGCCGCCTGGTTCTTTTTCGTCTCACCCTCTTCCCACCTTCAGAGTGTAGCCATTCCATTGGAGAGATGGGAAAGACCATGACACTGAGGCAGAATGTGGCTGCCTTTACTTTGCAGTTTATGTCTCTGTCACAGAAATAGTCACTGTCATGGTTTGGTGGGTCCCAAAGCATGGGCCATGGCTCCAGATCGCCTTTCCAACTTTTTGGATCTTGGTGAGTCTGAACTCACTGTTGTGTTGGTAAGGCCTTGGAAACTGCAGTGACAGAGAATGATTCACAAGTGTCAACACTCAGATGTGCAGGGCTGCCAGCTGACCCTCTGCCTATTTCCATCTGGCACAGAGCTGGTTGATCATGAACTTCTTTTCATAATTGCTCTTTAGTTACACAGGTTAAGGCATGCTGAAACAGACGTGCTGGACCCACCAAGAAGTCCTTCCTTAAATACCTGAGGCTTCCTAACAGCAAAGGAGCCCTATACATACTGATTCCAAGGCATTCCTGGGAGGTTGGGATCTGAGAGAAGGTGGCATTCGGCAGGCCCTGCCCACACCACAGAGCCTTGGGATTTTCTGTTACCTTGGTGGAGTTGCTGGCTCAGAGAATGCCCTTCTGCCCTAATAGCTAGGCGGCACTGGAAGGCTGTGAGAACTCTGCTGAGCCTTTTGAGCTATCCACGGTGAGCTCCTAATGGGAGTGTGGTACATCACTCACGTGTGCTGGACTGGAAGAAAGGCTGAGAAACATTGCCATGGGGGTTCTGTCATGTAGGATTGGGGTACTGATGAGATCAATAGTGTTTAGAAACATATATGTTGTCTCTTCTAAAGCCATTCTGGAGACTGTAAGTTTTCTTGTGTCTTATTTGAAGTCAAGAAAAGTGAATGATTGCCGATAGTAGTTCACTAAAGGCAGCTATCTGGCCTTTAATAGTCATTTGTAAAGTGTATTTAAAACATTCACTCATCAAACATCTCCTGGGTTCCTACCATGTGCTAAGACATGTGCTGGGTGCTCTAACTACAAAAATAAATGCAATATAGCTCTTCTCTCAGTGCTCAAGCCTAGTGGAACAAGCACAAATGGAAATATAAATTAAAATTCAACACGGTATGGGGCATTTCGGAGACAGGAACCAAATGCTTTGGGAATATAAAGGGCAGAGTCACTAATTCTGTCTACAACAAGCAGGGAAGATTCCATAGTGTAAGTGACTTTTGAGCTAGATTTTGAAGGATAATTATAGGCTTTTTGTCATACTAGAAGGCAGGAAAGGCATCTTAGAAAAGCATGGTAAGGCCTGGTATGTTCAGACAGTGGTGAAGAGGTCAGTGTGGTAGGAGCACTGCAGTTGACCACATGTGATTTTAAAATATATAGTGTTTGTTCCTACAAATAGTTTTTAAAGATTATTGTTTTCAAAACAATAATCCATCAGTATGAGTGTATTGTCGGTACTCTCAATGAATTACTTACTACCCAAGTGACTTTATCTGTTGTTCTGTCATATCAGGCCACCTACAGTCAGAAAATTGTATTGATTTTTCTGAGGTTATTAATAATAACTGTGACTTATTGAGTACCTACTATGTGCCAGGCACAATGTAGGTGCTTTGCATCCATTATCACTAATCTTTACAACAACTCTGCAAGTTAGATATCAGCCTTATTTTAGAGTCTTAAAGAGCTTGTGACTTCCCTAAAGTTGTACAAACAGAAAGGGGCCAAGTCAGGTTTCTAATCCAAGTACGTCTCCTGAAGTCTGTGCTCTTTCCTATGTGCCTTGCTACCTCTCTCGTTTAGTGAAAGCCTCTTTCCCCCATGACACAGTAGATCCAATATACTAAGGAGTCTTTCATTTATGAGTTGTAAGTGATTAACAAAGCAAACCTTATATCGGACCTTATACACCCAGATGAGTATTGTTACTCAAAGAAGTTATTTGGGGAAAAGAGAATATATATTACCTGTTCCATTGCTCATACTGCTTGTTACCCATCTGGAATTTCCTTTAAAGTCAGTTTACAAATCATGTAAGAAAACCCATCTCATCGCTTTATATTCAAAAATCATTTTGAGCCAAACTAGTTCCATCTAGTTTGATCACACATCTTATTCACTAAACTTGGCTCTGATTGACTTTTGGCCATTTCTAAAAATCAAATCCACTCTCAATGAAGATTTGGCACCATTTAGGATATTCAAAAGAACAGACTACAGGCTCTCAAGGTGCTTCCAAGAGGAAAGCTCCAAAGATGGTTT